CGTTGCAGTTGTCTCCGAAGACTCTGTCCAATATTGGTAGATGGGTTGCTGAGAGCAGGTGGAAGACTGACAAACTCTGAGTTGGACTTTGATGCTAAATATCCCATCATCTTGCCCAACAACCACTACATCACGCGCACACTCATCATACATATTCACATGCAGGAAGGTCATGCCGGGGAAAATCACCTACTCAATGTACGCTCATCATACATATTCACATGCAGGAAGGTCATGCCGGGGAAAATCATCTACTCAACCATACACTGTCGGTTTCGGATAGTGTAATGTAATACACGCTGTTCTCCGGTTTACGTCTTCTCCCTTCTGATGGGTTGATCGATATCATTCGCGTCTGACTGTTCTTGTGTGTGCGCCAGGATATTTTGCTAATGTCTGCTCAACGATCCCTTTCAGATCGTAATCGTCTGTGTGGCCTAAACCTGAGTCGGTCTACTACAAATTTGGCGACGGGGATGGGATCTCCAAGGAAAGATTCTAGAGATTACAGCGACGGCGAAAGTGTCAGCCCGCCGACTGTAGGGACGCGTTTACCGCAAGTCACATTGACGGCTGCGCCGGCAATACAGTTGGAGCCGCCACCGCGATTTGAAGCTTGAACAAAGTTGACACTATGACAGACGAAGATGCAAAGATTTCTACGTCGGGTGTCAACAGAAAAACACAGCCTGTGTATCCTAGATCGTTTAAGTGATTAGATACAAGAATTACTGATCAACGAGAACGTGGACGAGGACTGCCCCCAGAGTCCATATGGAACAGCTTGTGGGAATTGTTCCCGGGTCAGGTCAACCACCCCTCCCTCCGACACCAATACTGGCGAAGAGACCAAAGACCAGGGGAGTCGATGGAACAATACGCGAATGAATTAAGAATACTGGTTAGTCGAGGGTTTCCTGAGAAGTCCAAGGAAGTCCAACGGGAGTTTGCTCTCGAGCGGTTCCGAGAGAAACTGTTGAATCCCGTTGCCAAGCGTGAGCTCCAAGGGCGAGCCCCCACCACTCTGGGGGAAGCGGTTTGTAGGGTGGAGACATTTGACATCCAGAGCCTGGTCAAAAACGAGGCGCCAAGACGGTCAGAACAGCCAAAACAAGCGAGCAGCTCGCGGGTCAACGGCCCCAGATTCGAAGCACGAGTCCCCTGGCGCACCANGGCCTGATCAAAAACGAGGTGCTCAAACGGTCAGAAGAGCCAAAACAAGCGAGCAGCTCGGGGGTCAAGAGCCCCAGATTCGAAGCACGAGTCCCTTGGTGCACCAAACCCCAGAGCAACGGTGGAGCGGCCCGCAGCTGGCAACAACAGGAACCAAGTGAGTCACCTTTGCGTTCTGTTTATTTGCCGATTATACGTGGACAATGGAATCAAAGTGTTTTCCCCTACTCCTCACTGTTGGTTTCAGAGGTAGGCATGTTAGTGCTTTGGTCGACACAGGAGCCACGTGCAATCTTATCGAAGTAGATCAGTGTCAGATTCGTGAGCTCAGCCGAGAGGGCCCNGTGAAAGCCGTCAACGGGTCTCCTCTCCAAACCTGGGGCTGTCTGAACGTCGAATTGCAGATGGTGGGGACCAAGGTCAAGCACCCCATGGTGGTCGCCTCGAATCGACAATGGAAGATGATATTGGGAATTGATTTTCTACGCCATTTTGAAAAAATGCCTCGACCTGATTAAGAACATTCTAACCTTCGACGAGAAAGAAATTCACATGGGATCAGGTGAAGCAAATGAGGAGGATTGGGCACTGAAACTCCACACCGTGGATCTCCCTGGCCAGGTGTCGCGCATAGTAGAGAATACCAGGGACCTATTGAGCGACGAACAACAAGGGAGACTGAAGGCGATGATAGACAGCCACAAATCGGCGTTTGCCTGGGACGGTGTACCCTTTGGGTGGTACCAAAGTAATCCAACATAGCATCGACACGCAAGGAGCTGCGAGCATCAAACAACACCCCCGGCGTTTGCCCGTAGCTTACCGGGAACTGCTAGAAGAGATGATTCAATCAATGATACGAGAAGGTTTAATTAAGCCGTCCCGATCTCCGTGGTCCTCCCCCATAGTCTTACTTAAGAAGAAATCGAGAGAATTGCGACCATGCGTGGATTACCGACGTCTGAATCAGGTTACCGCAAGGACAGTTTTCCTCTCCCACGCATTGACGACACTCTAGAGACCCTGGGAGGGGCGAAATACTTCAGCACGCTAGATCTGGCATCCGGGTATTGGCAGGTGGAAGTACATCCCGACGATCGATCGGGACCTACGAATTTGAAACAATGCCTTTCGGGTTGGCCAACGCCCCCGCCACGTTCCAGCGACTGATGTCCACGGTATTGAATGANGGAAGTACATCCCGACGACCGTGACAAAACAGCCTTCTTTATTCCCACCGGGACCTAAGAATTTGAAACAATGCCTTTCGGGTTAGCCAACACCCCCGCCACTTTCCTGCAACTGATGTCCACGGTATTGAATGACTTGGTTCCCGGTAAATGTCTAGTCTACCGTAACGATGTTATTGCCCATGGTCGCACTCCGGAGGAACATATGAATAACCTCGAGGATGTAGTCTCGGCGATCGGTGCTGCTGGGCTAAGGATGAAACCCGAAAAATGTGTGCCTCTCCAAAAGGAAGTTGAATATTTGGGACATTTAATCAGCGAGGAAGGTATCCACAGTAATCCCGAGAAAATTGGAGCAATCGAACGGTGGCCGATTCCCAAGTCGAGAGAATACGTGAGACGATTTCTCGGGCTTACCTCCTACTACCGCCGTTTTGTTCAAGGATACGCCAAAATTGCATCTCCACTGCATCGCCTAACAGAGAAGGACC